GGAGGTGTCACGTTCACCGTTCCTGGTCTCATCTCATCCGAGAACAGATATTGATTTTTGTTTTGACGGAAGAAAATGGCCTCAGCAGGCCAGGGCATCCTTCATCTCAGCTGGAACAGATAGGTGCAGATACTTCATATAGTCTTTGTAAAGATCAATTTTTAAAACAATTCATGTTATCTTGACTTGCTCTGCTTTGAACTTTTTGATCTTAAAAACAATTAATGCAACATTTAATTTGTTTACAAGATTGCTTTGTTATACCTTCATTTTTGGTAATTACATTTGTCATTTAAATGCTATAATTATAACAACACCCCAAAATATTCAGGTATAAAAAATATTTACCATAGATTTTTAAACTCATTTTATCCCTGAAAAGCAATGTTTTCCTTTGCAATTAACAGCAAAAATGTAAATTTTTCTTTGCTAATTGAACAAAAATATATAAACAAAACTAAGGGTTTCTCTCATGAATCACCTCTTATGGGTTATCCAAAAATTATGTCACCAACAACATGAAGATATGAGTGTTCATTTGATCCAGGATGTTTTGTTTCCTAACTTGTAACTAGAGATTTATCATTAGGATTGTGCTTGTTTTCCAGATGACCGTACATTTTCCTCAAGCATCCTTTGATACATTATACAACTCTTTTTGTATTTTACGATAGTGATACGCTCAGGACTGACTGCAATCCTTCCCCTTCGGAGAAACCGAATTTCCCTTCGGGAATTAATAAAGTATATCTGAATTTAATTAAATATAACAAAGCTTCCCAAAACCATAGTGATTCTACCCCATGTTGTACCTTCTAAGTTAATATTAGTTCTTTTCCTTCAATTTTGTATCTAATTCATGCCTAACATCTTTCCAGAGTAAGCATAAAAAATAATAAAAATCAGCAGCATTAGATACTGTCCATATAATATTATTTCAAAACTCCCCTTTGTCTACCTTATCTGGCAAAAGTTAAAATGGAGTTTTTTAAATGTAGAAAGAAACAACAAAAAATATAATATGCTTAATATATACATATATATTTTCTTTTCTTTTTATATGTTTAATATGAATATCATATGTTTAATATTTTCTATCTGATATGTTTCTTTTTCACCATTCAGGTCAGATGAACCTTGATGACATTTTGGTCTTTTGCAGACTTTTCTTTGCATATTTTGGTGTGCTTTTAAAATGAAGTTGCTTAGACTGGCAGAACTTTGTTGGCATGTCGTTATCTGTTTTACATGCTATTCACCTGAAGACAGTTTTCCATATTGGGGGCTTAGTATGTTTTGCAACAGCTGTAAATTAATTTGGTCCTTTCAACTGGATGCCCACCTATGTTCAGGAAAACTATGTGGTATTGCTCTCAGCTTACATTTGCTTAAATTTCTTGAGGGATCACACTATTTTAAAACAT